AATTAGAACTTTCGAAAAAGCAGTGTTTTTACATTTCATTGATTTACTCAAAAACTATAATAGATAGAATTAATCCAATATATGCATATAAAAGATGAATGTTTGGGGAATCCAGCAAGTATAGATACATTTCTGTGCTCTTATCCATATTGCTGTAATACGCGTTCCTTTTATGAAATGGTGGGTAGCGGGGAGGCGCCAAATGATTACATACTTTTGAGGGAGGCGTTGTAACATCAAGTTTGAAAACCACTGAGCTAATAAACAGTTCGGAATGCCAACAAATTTTCGTATAACGTACGCAAGTTCGAATAGTAAACACTTTAGTGAACAATTTACTTTAATAATACAAATCTTAAGCTGTTTCTTAAATTGATGATCAGTTAACGAACAGTTCGGATTGCGAACAAATTTTCGTATAACGTACACAACTTCGAATAAGGAATACCTTAGTGATCAATTTACTTAACTAATACAAATCTTAAGCTGCTTTTAAATTGATGATCAGTTAACGAACAGTTTGGATTGCGAATAAATGTTCGGATAACGTTCACAAGTTCCGATAACAAACACCTTAGTGAACGTTACTGATACAAATCTTAATCTGTTTCTTAAATTGATGTTCGGTTAACGAACAATTCGTTTAGCTTTTGTTCGTTAACCGAACACTCACTGTTTTTTTGTAATATTTCTAATTAAAATATTTACTCTATTAGCTGTAGGATTATCGGTATAGTCGACCGGTTGACATGAGAATCTGTAACCATTCACCCATCCTCCTTGAAGACCCTGCAAGAAAGAAATAATGCAATCAATGTAACGTATGCAACCAAGAGGACGGCTCGAAAATGCCGACGTCGTGAGGCCTCACCAGCAAATCAATATTTATCAATTAGCCAATGCGAAACGACTTTGATCTTTGGGCGGCTGTTAATTATTTTATTGAGGTGGAAAAACTCTCGAATAACGAAATGGCACTTGACACACAAATGCGATGGGACGAAGAAAAAAATAAATAAAAATAGAAGGTGAATTGGCTACTCTATAGTTTGTTCTTACCTCATAGACCAAGAACACGCTTAGGCCCACTTGAACGGCGTTGTAGAGCTTGATGAGGTTCTTCAGCTCGTACGGTTTTCTATCTTTCATGTACCTCGGACCGGCCGAGTTGCAGAAGTACAAGTATGTTGCTAATATCGTTAGGAGAGGTCCGGGACCCGACATCAGGAACCAATCCCTCGTCTTCGGATCTATCAAAAAAAAAACATACAAAGATTTGTTCATCATGATTTGAGAAATCGCGAAACGCACTCACGTCCTTTCGTATCCATTATGTAATTGTAGTATTCCACCCAAGTAGACATCGTTTTCTTCTGCAATAAATAAAAAGTGCGATAAGTCAACAATTAATTAACTGTTTATATTAGTTTCGAGGTGAACGAAAGATGACATAAACGTTTATTATCTACTCACTTCTGATATTCTTCGCCTTCAATATATTACAACGACCAAATCCTAAGGTAATTGTTCAATAAATCAATCATTTTTCCATTTCCCAATATTTATTTTATCACCAATAATTATTTCGTTTTTTTAATGAATTAACACGAAAATTGTAATTGTAAATTTTAAGTTACCATCAGAAGTGTTATTTTATTACCCATCTTTTGACATAATAATCATTAATCAAAGATGAATACTTGTCACATCTTAACTAATTACTCTATGACCATGTATACTAAGTACATTGAAATTTAAAATGTATTACGTAATTACTCAGTAATTTAATGATCATTAGGTCATCAACTATTATGCAAATTATATGTTTCTAATGAATATACTGCCAAATTTAGTTTATTTGTCATTTTCTAGTTATAAACTGTCAAATTAGAGCAATAAAAATCGATCTTAAAAGAAATATTGAAATTCTAAGATTTTTTTGTCATGTCTTCATATTTTAACTAATTACTCTATGACCAAGTATACTAAGTACATTACCAAATAATCAAATGAAAGAAAAAACTATAGTTAGTCCAATGAGCCTATACTAAGGTTTGTGATGATTTTGAATCTTTTGTAATCAGTCTTCAAAGTTGAAAATGTATTACGTAATTACTCAATAATTTAATGGTCATTAGGTCATCAACAATTGTGCAAATTATATGTTTCTAATATGTATACTGCCAAATTTAGTTATTTGTCATTTTATAGTTATAAGAAATTATATAGTTATTAGAAATTTTAAGTTTTTTTTTGGTCATATTTTAACTAATTACTCTATGACCAAGTATACTAAGTACATTACCAAATAAGCAAATGAAAGAAAAACTATAGTCTTTCCAATGAGCCTATTCTAAGGTTTGTAATGATTTTGAATCTTTTGTAATCAGTCTTCAAAGTTGAAAATGTATTACTTAATAACTTAATGATCATTAGGTCATCAACAATTGTACAAATTATATGTTTCTAATGAGTATTATAAAACATTTGTAATCAGCCATCAGAATTGAAAATGTTTGATGTAATTACTCACAAACTGATCTTAAAAGAGCTATGGAAATTTTGAGATTTTAAAAATATGACGTTTCCAATGTCCTCTGTCAAATGTGTGACATTTATCAGTAACCAATTATAAGCTGTCAAATTGGAACTCATTGGAAGTAGACAAAAAAACTGCGTTCAGTCAACAATTAATTAGCTGTTTACATTAGATACGAGATGAAACAAACTATAATTATCTATTCACTTATTGTTTTCTTCGCCTTCAACAAATTCAAGAAGGCCTAATGGAAATTTTCAATAAACCAATCATTTCTCAATTTTTTGCTTAAGCAACGAAATTCACTTACAAGCAGGGAAATAAAGTGAACGAAACAAAGGGGAAATTGCCGTAGTATTGTTCCAGTTCATCCTCCAGTTTCGTTTTTTTTATTCTCTTTGTTTCGTCTTCTTTTTTTGTATTCTTTTTCTGAAGTAATTGGGAGGGAAGAAGTGGTTACGTAAAAGGAAAAGTGCGGAGGCTACGCACCGGTTTTCTCTTGTTTCTCGAAGGAAATGACGAAAACTGGATGTTTTTCACTCTTTTCGCGACCTCAGAAAACGTCATCGGCGTCATTCTTATTTGTTTTTGTCGTTGTTTCAAATAAAACATTACATCTCTGCTTCACAATATTATAGAGGACAAACGTATAAAAAAAACGTACAATACCATAAAGAAACAAATCTAATAAGGATGAACAATGCTTTTCTTCCTTAAATAGAAAAATAATTACATTAACTAATTTCTCTTGATTTTTTTTATATAAAAAGTCCAGAATTTGTTTTTATTTAGTTATAAATATATAATTTATTGTTTCTAATTTTAAAGCATGAATAATTATACATTTTATATGCGTAAATATAATTTGAAAGCTATTACAATTAGATGGCTTTCTTATTGTAAAACTTGATTGAGTGTATAGGATGAAAGGAAAGTCTTTGGAAACCCGAATGGTAAATGGATAATAAAATTAGTTATTGTTGCGCGACGAATGTCATATAAATCATGATTATTTATGCGTTCCAAGAGGCAGTTAAAAGAATACGAAAATTACCATAGAGAGAGAATATTTCTCAATTAAATAAAGTTATAAAACGCTTATGACAATTTGATTTTATGATCTGCAAAGAATTTATTTAAATTACAACAATGTACATATTGTATCGTTTTTTGGTTGTTGGAAATTATGTAAGAATTTTTATTTCTGTTTCAGTTTTTTTATATCGAAATTAAAAATAGTTAAATTTATATTGGGAAATAATTTAAAAATATTTACTACATTTTATGAAAATCATGTAAGAATTTGAACAATATTTAAGTTTTTTATGGAACATAAATTTGATGAAAATAATGTAACAATGTTAAAATATTTCAGGTTTTTATGTAACAGTTTTTATATGTTATTGATTTTATTGTAATTTACTAAATTTGATAAAAATAATGTAAGAATTTAAACAATATTTAAGGTTTTTATGTAACTTTTTTTTATATGTTATTGATTTTATTCTAATTTACTAAATTTGATGAAAATCATGTAAGAATTTGAAGAATGTTTTTATGTAATAATTTGTATGTATTATTATATATTTTTTTTAATTATTAAATTTGATAAAAATCATGGAAAAATCTAAACAATATTTAACGTTTTTTTTAAATATTATTAATTTTTTTTTCTCAATAACTAATTTGATGAAAATTATGTAAAATTAAAATCAATATTTAAAGTTTTTATGAAGCAATTTTTGTACATTCCTGTTTTCTTTACTAAATTTGATGAAAAACTTGTCATAAAATAAAATAAAAAATGTGTGAGATTTTTGTGTAAGAATTTTTCTAAATTGTTTTTTCTAATTTACTAAATTTGATGAAAAAAATATAAGATCTACACAATATTTATGGTTTTTTGTGACAATGTTTGTATATTCCTGTTTTCTTTACTAAATTAATAAATTTGATGAAAAACTTCTAATAAAATAAAAAATATTTAAGATTTTTTGTAAATTATTTTTTCTAATTTACTAAATTTGGTGAAAAACATGTATGAATTTGTATAAAATTTGTGGTTTTTATGTAACATTTTTTGAAATATTATTGTTATTATTCCTAAATTACTAAATTTGATGAAAATAACATAAAAATCTAACCAATATTTAAATGTTTTAACTAAATTATCAATTTCCACTGAAATATTATAAGAATCTTAACAAAGTTAAAGATTTTTCTGTCGTATTTTTTACAGGAAAAGTTTTACGTTTTTTATGTCGCATTTTTTCAAATCCATTTATTGCATTAAGAAATGATGTAAAATATATCAGCAATATATAGCAAATGCAAATCACTCTAAATATTGACCATAACAATGAAGACGAATGCTCTAAATGGAAGCATTTTCACTCTTAAACTTCGTATGAATCCGCTAACACGAGTAAAACGTCATCAGAATGAATCATAAATTAATTCTCAGGCATTTTTTCTTGACACAAATTTAATTTACAAAAAAAAATCATGTTGTTAAAGTTACATTTTCAATACAAATTATAAAAATAATTCATAAAGCTATGATATTGTTAAGTTAATAAATAATAATTTAATAAATATTAAAATTAATAAAACAAAGCGGAAAATGAACATTTTCATAGTATGTAAATATTGATTCACCTAATTTTTATTTATTTTCATTATTTTATTTTACGTACGAAACCGATTTATGGTCATTACATTTCGAACAATGAGTCTTTGCAATTTAAATTCGATCATATTTGCATTTGATATTGGTCTGTTATTTCAATTGTATTTGAATAATTCCATTATTTCATATTCGTAACATTATGTTTCTAGATTTCCACAATGATTTTACAGTAATTTTATAAAAAAAATAACGCTATACGGTATTTTTTATTTTCAAAAGTAATTTATTTATTCACTTCCTAATTTTCCACTATCATTACACTGTTATTTTGTTAAAATATATTTTTGTACTTTATTTTGTTAAAATATACATTTTTCTTTTCAATTTTTATGAAATTATTCTATTTCCATATTTCCACTATGTTTGATTTTATGAACCGCCAAGAAATTATTTAGATTATAATAATCAACATATTGTATTATTATATCTTATATAATTATAAATATTTTGATAGAAATAGAACATTTCTACATGTTTTAATTAAGGTTTTTATATTGAAATAAAAAAAAAATATTTGTTTTAAAATCATATCTTTTGCTATTATTTAATATTTTTTTCATAATATTGTTTTTATTTCATTTGATACACTAAAATAATGATTTTTTTTTAATTCTATATATTATTGAAATAAAAATCATCTATAAATTTTTAATTTCATATTTCCATTTCAATTAGACCTCACTCAATAAGTTTGTAGGATATCCAATAAAACAATAACTTTTGGGCAATATTCCACATTATTCAAGAGTGATACATTTATATCACCGCTTCTCTAACAATTGGGTACCTTTCTTGTAAAATGATTTAACTTTGTCCTTCGCCCTTTGCTGTCTACTCAGTTGACTCTTGAGTATAGTCAGGATCCAGGTTTTATCCATTCTTACATAACACATAAAAAAATCCTTGCTTGAACAGCTCCAAACAACTTGTTGTTTCGGACAAAGCTTTCTCATGATCAAATGTTCATGCAAAATGATGTATTCACTACATTCAGAGTGTCAGCTATATCACGCAACATAAATTTACGATCGACAAAAACCATTTTGTGGACTTTTTTCTAAATTTATTGCAACAATTGCCGAATTTGGGCATCATTTGTGTCTGTACGACCGCGTTTAAAATCAGCAAACCACGTCTCTACCATTTGTCTCGACGGAGAAAAGTCCCCATAACACTTATCAAGCCATTGCTTTGCTTCAACGGTATTTTCTTCCATCAAAAAGTAATGTTTTGTCAACATACGAAATACAGATTTTTACATTGTTTTGAAAGTTACAAAAGTAGCGTTAATAAAATCACTATATCTTGTGAACTAAACGTCAGATTGTCATGAAATTTTGACAGGCGTCATCTGAAGGTTGGTACTTCCTAAAAATGACATGGATTTTTCGATAGAGGCTGCATGTATATATGTCATCCTACGAACTTATTGAGTGAGGTGTTACATTTTTTTTTAACTTTTATTGTTCATTCACAACCTGCAGAAAAAAAAGAATATAGAAACAGAAAAAACAAAATAAAAGCATGGAAATCTTCCTATAAACAATTATAAACATGGAACAAATACATCGGAACAAAGAGGAAGCAACTGGGCATTAAGTTCGCAAAACTGTTACATTTTAATATACAGTTTTTGTCAATTTTAATGAATTTATTCTATTTCTATATTTCCAATTTTACAGTTATTTTATTAAAAAATACATTTTTTGTTCAAATTTAATTAATTTAATCTATTTCCACTATGATTTTATAATTATTGTGTTAAAATATACATTTACAAGATTTCCACTTCAATATTATAGTTAGTTTGTTAAAATATACATTTTTTATAAAATTCAATTAAATTATTGTATTTATAAACTATTATTTTAAAGTTAATTTTTGTAATTGTGTTTTTTTTTTCAAATTTCACAATTAAAATCATTGATTTTTTTTTGTAACATTTGGTTTGATTCTTTTGATTTTAAACTTATTTGTTTCTTAAATATAAATTTTTAAGTTAAATTACAATTATCATCAATACACAAATATTTGAATTTAGTTTTAATCAAAAAAAATTTACAAACATTGTCTAGTCTGGTTTGTGATTGAAAATGGTTTTTGAATAATTCCAGTATTTTATACATAATATCTTAATTAAATATATGATTTTGGAATTAAGTTAAAAACACAAATATTATTCAAGTGTGCACGAATCCTTGAAATAATGTTGATGAACTGAAAAATTCAACAAAAGTACAGACAAAATAATATTTACGATTAATTGCAATACTTTTGAAACACATAAATTAAAACTTGTTCAAAACATGCAATATGAACAATATGAACTATTAAATTAACACGATCAACACTTGCTTGCAACACAAATTAAAACTTGTTCAAAACATCGAATATGAACAAAAAAAATCTCTGAAATTAATTGAATGAAACATGAAATGAGCAAGTTTATTTGTATAAGAAAAAAAAGTGTTATTATTAAATATCTCGTATTTTGCATTTAGTTATACGCGATATTTAATTTGCAATATTTACTGATTGCCATTGCGCAAAATTACGCTAATAATTACGTATTTTACATACGTCGAAACAATCAAAATTACTATTAAAAAAAATGAGAAGAAAAAAAAAGCTAATTTATATGCAAAACTATATTTATTGAAAGAGAAAAAACTACTAGTTAACAAAATTTATTTATAGATAACTCAAATATTGTAATAATGGTCTAATATATTCAAGATCAAATACAGGATTTTATTTTTTTCTTCATATTTATTTAAATAAATAATCTCGTTAAATTTATGCATTGAAAAATAATCGAACTAATGTTGATAATTTCTATCAAAGAAAGTACCGTATAGAACGGTACTTTCTTTACACGTTTTCGGTTTACACGGTAAAAAAAATGTTGAAAATAACGTATTCCTCTTTTTACACGGTACTTTCTTTACTAGATTTCGACACGGTTAAAAAAAGTTAATTAATAAAATAAATGTGGAAAATCCTATGCGATTTTTTGCATACTTTTCGATTTACACGGAACCTATCTACCGTGTTAATCGAAGGATATGTGTATAAATACCTCGCATAGTGCGGCTTCGATCAGTCCGTATTTATCATAATCTGGTTTGAAAATTTCTAAACTAACTAGATCTTAATTAAGCAAAATTGTATTAAAAGTGTATTTTATTACGCAAATATTTAAATAAAAGTTTCATTCATGATTAATTTACAAAATTTATTATGAAAAATGTTGGATAAAACTTTTTCTGATTTTACTTTGATTAATTCTGATGGAAAATCTAAAACCTTCGACATTAATTATAGATTTGCAAAAAAAAAACAAGAAATGTAACGTTACGAAATATGAAATAGTTGAATTATTGTCTTAAAGTTATCTTAATAAAATTAATGAAAAATCTTAAGTTTTTCAAATAACGATATATTAATTTGTAATTAAACATTGTATGAAATTGAAACCGCGTTAGTTGAACGTCTCGATGAAATCGAGGTTGTATACATATTTGCGTTAGAGCAAAAGATCAAAGGTAAATCGGATCCAAACGAAGATGTGCTGCTGCTCAAGTACATGCTAAAATTTTTACACACATTTTTTGTTTGTTTGATTTCATTCACTAAAGGTCTTCGGATGGCGCTAATTTCAACATTTTTTCTTCTCATCAACAAAAAATAATAAAGAAAAATAACGCTCACCTAATAAAGATTCTCCTCGTATTTAGTAACACTTAACACATTCACTGATCCAGTTTTAAGGGACTTGCTTATATAATCTGGCCTCGGTTGGCCGTGAAATGCGCTGTAGTAATTAAGTTGTTTCCGATAACTAACGTTGCGTTGGGTCACGAGAATTATGGAAATCGCGAGTTTCGTCCACTTCTTCGAAGACTCGCAACACTTTATGCCCATATATTGGAGACGGGCTGTTTTTACCATGCTCGTTACATATGCCTTTAGGTGGGGGATTCCTATGCTAAATGCATTCTTCGACTAATCTACTCGCTAAATCCATTATCCTCTTCTTTTTAGCGGTTCCAAAAAAAAAATGCAATTAAACTTACGTTAAAATTCAGTTTCAAATATAAAACTCGAAAAAGAATTAATTTGAAAATAATTAATTCTGACATTATTCCGCACTGTTTGAAACCGGACTAACCAAGGAATTATAATAATTAATGAGAATTTATTTTTATTTTGATCAATTAAAATTTAGTTTGTTTTGCAAATTTTAACTCTAGAAAATACGCACTATTCGAAGCGGCACTATTTGAGGTATTGCTGAAATTTAATTCACCAAAGTTAATTTTATAAGTGGAAAGTATTACGCACTGTTTGGAACCGGACTAATCAAAGAAAATAATTTTGTATAATATTTCGTCAGAACTTATTTTTTATTTTGAACAATTAAAATTTAGTTTGTTTTGCAAATTTTAAGTCTAGAAAATTCGCACTATTCGAAGCCGCACTATATGAGGTATTGCTGAAATTTAATTCACCAAAGTTAATTTTATAAGTGGAAAGTATTCCGCAGTGTTTGAAACCGGACTAATCAAGGAATTATAATAATTTTGTATAATAATTCGTCAGAATTTATTTTTTATTTTGTTGAATTAAATATTAGTTTGTTTTGCAAATTTCAACTATAGATAATTCGCACTGTTCGAAGCCGCACTATACGAGGTATTGCTGTAATTTAATTCAACAAAGTTAATTTTATAAGGGGAAAGTATTCCGCACTGTTTGGAATCGGATTAATGAAGGAAGTATAATAATTTTCTATAATAATTAGTGAAAATTTATTTTTTATTTTGATGAATTAAAATTTAGTTTCTTTTGAAAATTTCAATTACAGAAAATCAATACTGTTTGAAGCCGCACTATACGAGGTATTGCTATAATTTAATTCAACAAAGTTAATTTTATAAGGGGAAAGTATTCCGCACTGTTTGGAACCGGACTAATCAAGGAATTATAATAATTTTGTATAATAATTCGTCAGAATTCATTTCTTATTTTAAACAATTAAAATTTAGTTTGTTTTGCAAATTTCAACTATAGCTAATCCGCACTGATCAAAGCCGCACTATACTAGATATTGCTGTAATTGATTTCAGCAAAGTTAATTTTATAAGGGGAAAGTATTCCGCACTGTTTGGAATCGGACTAATCAAGGAATTATAATAATTTTCTATAATAATTAGTGAGAATTTATTTCTTATTTTAAACAATTAAAATTTAGTTTGTTTTGCACATTTCAACTATAGCTAATCCGCACTGATCAAAGCCGCACTATACGAGGTATTGCTGTAATTGATTTCAAATAAGTTAATTTTGTAAGGGGAAAGTATTCCGCACTGCTTGGAACCGGACTAATGAAGGAATTATAATAATTTTCTATAATAATTAGTGAGAATTTATTTTTTATTTTGATGAATTAAAATTTAGTTTCTTTTGAAAATTTCAACTATAGAAAATCAGCACTGTTCGAAGCCGCACTATACGAGGTATTGTTGTAATTTAATTCAACAAAATTAATTTTATAAGTGGAAAGTATTCCGCACTGTTTGGAACAGGACTAATCAAGGAACTGTAATAATTTTGTAAAATATTTTTTTAGATTTTTTTTTTTTTTAATTTTGTTTGTTTTATAAATTTCAAGTGTATCTAATTCGCACAGAACGAATCCGAACTATGCGAGATATTGCTGTAATTTAATTGAACAAAGGTAGTTTTATAAGTGGAAAGTGTTCCGCGCTGTTTGGAACCGGACTAATCAAGGAACTGTAATAATTTAGTAAAAAAATTTTAGAGTATTTATTTTTAAAAATGTTGTTTGTTTGTTTTGTAAATTTCAATTGTAGTTAATCGGCACTAATCGAAGCCGCACAATGCGAGGTATTGCTATAATTAAATTAAACAAAGTAAATTTTGTAAGTGGATAATGGAAAGTATAGAGGTAATTGTTATTACATTATTTCTTAATCAGCTTTACTGGAAACGTATTTTTTTTCTGTATACGAAGAAGACAATAGTTGAGTAACTTTTTTTTTGATATATTTACACATAATTGTCTTACCTTAGTAACAGCACATCCCATTCTCTTGGCGTGAAAGTCGAGTTTGGTGCAGTTCCATGGGAGTTTCGAACCGCATTTTTATTTGAAATTTTGAATAACAAAAAATGTAATTAACACCAAATATTTTTCATGTTTTCAAACGCTTTAATTACATATAAAAACACAAAATCGTAATTATAAATATGAATTTTGTGGTTTAAATAAATATGTTTTTAATTGAGAACGATGTGTTTAATTAGAAAACGTGTTTATTTTTGAATTACAAAAAAATTCTAATACTCATAAAAAAATATCTTTTGCTTTGGTTTTTTCTAATTATTTAATTTTTAATTTTAGTAAATTTACTAAAATATGTAAGTTTAATATTTCAATTTGTATAAATAAATTTAAAAAAACACTAAAAAATGAAATTTTTTTTTCGATTTCATAAATATTTTCACTTCAAAACAATAAATAAATAATAAATTACTAAATGATGTAAATAATTTAATAAATTTTATATTCTCATAAAAAAACAACAAAAGAAAATATAATTATAAAAATGACTAAATTAGCTTTCGGTTTCAATAATATCTCCACTTAAAAACAAATGAAAATAATTGCAAAACGTATTTAATTTGTTTGTCAGTGAGAATTGTTTTGTAATTAATAAAATTTGCATTAATTAATTTGTAATTATGCAAAAAAAAAACTAAATGATTCAATATTTTCAATTAAAAATTATTATTGCAAATATTATAAAAAGGTTTACTAATTAACAAAGAAGTAAAATTTATATAATTAGATTAACGCTCATACGTTGATTGATTGTAGAGTAAAAGTGTTTGAATCTTATGTGGAACAAAGAAAAACGAAAGTGAATTTCCGTTGAAGGAATCGTATGACAAAGTGAATGAAAACCGAAGTGAATTCTTGTCTGAGCAAACACTTTAATGAGTTGAGCAAATGAAATATCCCATTCATTAATAATATAAATCAATAATTGCAGACAATGAAAAATAAATATCACATTTTTTTTCTTAATTATTTCGCTGAATTGTTAAATTAAAGATGACGCCAATCAGTGGCGGAACTTCAAATCTTTGTTTGCAAAATATTATTATTGAGGCCCTTAAATCGTTGTTGAAGTAGTGAAGTACTCAGACAAATTTGATGGCACCACGCAAACTTTTATTTGAGGTCCCACTTGATTTAAATTTGAGAAAATCATAGAGCTTTAAACAACAGTTACAAAGATTGTTGATGAGGTGAAGTGTCGATTTTCGTAGGGTCACATTAAGAAAGTTCTGGGCCCTAGACATCAGTTAGTGATAGTAGTTGAGGGCCCTAAACTAATTTGTATTTGGGTACCTTATAGATCTGGGTCGCATTGTGGTCAAATTGACGTGGGCCCTATACACCACTTGATTTTACTATTTGAGGGCCCTAAAAACAATTATTATTTGGGCCTCCTATAGATCTGTACTTCCAGCACTAATATCATTCAGAAAGACGTTAACCCTAAACATCACCTAGATTTACTAATTTAGGGCCTTAAAAACAAATTTTTATTTGTTACATTCAGAAAGTTGTGGGCCCTAAACACCAGTCAGTTTTAGTCATTGAAGGCCCTAAACTATTTTTTATTTGTGCCCCCTGTAGACCCATATGCCACTGACATCAATTAAAGTATATAAAAGAAATTATTAATTGATTTCTTATAATGTGTAAAATGTTTCTTTAATATTCATAAAATTGTATAAAGTAATAAAAAAATGTGCATTTTTTCCAACTTTGTTTGGAATTTAAGAGTTATTCAACCCTATTAACATACATTAGAATCAAATGAAAACCGTTCCGTCGTGTAAAATTAAAATACAATGTCCGTACATATTTGTTGTTTAAACAAACTGTATGTGATGATGATGATGATAATAATGGGGTGATGATGATAAATCAAGAGTCATGATGATATGTTTTTGTTTTAGAAATGAAAAAAAAAAGTTATAAATTTAGTTACAAAACTCGCTCAATGCAAAACAATGTGTTTTTTTTTGCAATCAATACATACTTTCATTCATATTATAATTGTTAAACAAAAATACAATTCACGTGCCGTTTTTCGCTTCCGTCCTAGCACGACCTGTGTGCCCTAATTAATATTAATGAATATGTGAATACTATTTTTTTTCTGCATTTTTATAAGTTACTTCGCATCAAAAATACAAATTCAAATGAATTTGCTAGTTGTTTTTTTATTATAATTACAACAATACCTCGCATTATGCAGGTAATTTTGTGTAATATTTATAATTGATTGAATTCCATTTTGCTGCATTAAAATTTAGTTTGTTTTGACATTTTTAAACCGGATTATAGTGGAACCGAACTTATTGAAGCCGTACTAAGCGAGATAATACTGTAATACTCATTCATTCATATTAAATCTTCGATTTTGCTGAATTAAAATTTAGTTGGTTTTGAAATTTTGAAACCGGACTATAGTGAGACCGTTCTGATTGTAACCGTACTAAGCGAGGTAATATTGTAATATTCATTCATTCCTATTAAATCTTCGATTTTTCTGAATTTAAATTTATTTATTTAGACATTTTGAAACCGAACTGATTAAAGCCGTACTAAGCGAGGTAATACTGTAATAGTCATTCATTCATATTTAATCTTTGATTTTGCTGAATTAAAATTTAGTTTGTTTTGCAAATTTTGAAACTGGACTATAGTGAAACCGTTCTGATTGAATCCGTACTAAACGAGGTAACACTGTAATATTCATTCATTCATATTAAATCT